GAGAAGAGAAACAGGGGGCGCGGGGGGGCGATGCCGGGGCGGCGGAAAATGGGGGGGGGGGGATCTGCACCTCTGAGCATGTTCAGAGTGCAGGATGATTGCATTTCTCTTTAAAAGTTGGCGCGGAGGGAAGGGGTACTGTTTCCGCAGGACGTACACCGTAGCTGAAGGGGGGGCGCGGAGCAAGTTGATCTGGAATCATTGTTAGTTACTTCAGACCAGTGTTTCTTAAAATGAGGTCCTAGGACCCCTGGGAGTCCCCCAAGACCCTCTCAGGGGTCTTCAAGATCAAAATTATTTGCCAGCCTATGTTGAAAAATGCAATATTAAAATAATACAGTAATAAATACAATATTAAAATCCCATCGAACGAGCATGAGAAGCGGTAGCATCAGCGAATGCGTCAATTTTAATTTTTTAATATGATAAATACTGATAAATATAACCCATACAAATAAAAGCTCTTTTGGGGTCCTCCATAATTTTTAAAAGTGGGAAGGGGATCTGGGAGCAAAAAGTTTAAGAAACATTGCTTCAGACTATTAACTTGCTGGACAGAGATTGCACAGTGTGATAAATCAGGAACTGGACAAGCTGAGTTTGTGTAATATACTAAGCTTCAAAAAAGCAACCAGCGTTATTATTCACCGAACTTAGCATGGGATGTGAATGTAGTAATAACAATTTATAGTGCAAACTTAGCCAAAGTGTCTCTCATGGTACTTGATTGGTATAATAACTACATGAGTTATAAATGGTTCATAATATAACATACCATCATAATATATGACGTAGCTGGCAGTGAAATAGCCTTTCAGCTCTATACTTACATTATTCCTCTTTGGGGCAAAGAAAAATCCACCTTGCCTGGATATCATCAGTGCCTGCGCTGATTCAATCAAGATGGAACTGAACCTGTACTTGATTCTTCTGTGCATCCCCATTAACTCTGGAAAGGCCGTTGTGGCCATGAGAAGTGAGGGAGAAATGTCAGTATTGCTTTTTTTTTTTTTTTAAAGAGTCTTGAGCCTCTTATTTCAACACTGAAAATTAAGTACAAAAAATCTCCCCTAGAGATGTGCCCTCTCTATACAAGTAGAAGCTGCTTTTTTAGGTAGAGTGATTTTTAGTAGAAAAACAGTTTGTAAGATAGAGATTTCTCCTCTTGTTTCTCTTTCCCCTCCCTGCCTGGTCTTCGGTAGCTGTTTTTCGAACTCAATTGCTGCCACAGTAACCACACTGTGTAGCAAAAAAACCCCAACAAACAAAAAACAGGGGCTTCATAGAGCTGCATATAGGCTGTGTTTTCATTATATACTTACCATTAACTTATCATAGTTTATTTTTAACCCAGTTTTCTCAGTTTGCACAAGATACTGAACCATTAACTATATATTCTGGGTTCATGCAACATGTTAAGCTTAACTGTGGTTACCTAGTCTGCAGTTCAGTGTCTCGTGTGAACACAGCCCTGTTGTTTCCACCCATTAGTACTTTTGATTTTCTTGGGGAAATGGTGCAAGAATCATTTCCTGGGGAATCAGCCTAAAAGCTGCTCTCGGTATCAGTGAGTGGAAGGTGAAAGTATTTTTAGTCAGTGGTACCACTATGGACACTTAGAGGTTTTCTTTATATTGAAGTCTGTTGTGACAGTCGTGTGATGCACAAATTGCTCCTCTCTGATGTGACTCGGATTTCTTCTGTAGCCTTTTGTTCAGGTGTCTTTTAATCTTGTTCTCTTTCTGATACTTAGAGAAGTTTGCATCACCTGGAACACCTCTAATACATCTTCAGAAGAGCAGTTTCCTTGCTCAAAGTTCATCTTGGGTGTTGGAAGCAATGCAGTAGGTGAGCAGTAGAAGATGGCTGTTCTTTCTTTCAGCCCTGAAGTAGCTTGTGGAAGTCTTGCTGGTTCACTTTTATCAAGTGAAATAATTTGTGGATCATGCTGTCTCTGTAAATTGAGATGCAATGCTTACCATTGCTAATAACGATTGCTCATATGGATTCAGAACAGGCTAGTGATACATCTAAAAAATCTCATTTGGTTCACAGCATTCTTATCTTCATTTATTTTGAATTCTGGAAGCTGGGAACTGGTTGGATCTGCCCAGCTGTGGAATGAGTGGGGCAGAACATCAAAAGTAACCAATCTTCTTCCAAAAGATTCATACTGTTGGTTTTATCGGTCAGTTTCAGATCCCACAGTAAGTAGCATCTCTTACCATTTGGGGGTGGGGGCAGAGAAGTTCAGTCAAAACTTTCAGAATTATTAAAAAAGGTAAAATGAAAGCGAGTCAAGCTTAACTCCTGGTGATTTCTCAACATGTCTGTGCAGACTTTTTTGGCAGCAATTTGGAAGGAGTTTACTACTTTTTTCTGAGATATTTTTCTGACTCCCCAGTCTGGCCTACAGCCCTGGGATTCCCTTGTAGTGTCCCCTTCAAATACTAACCAGACTTGACCCTTCTGAGCTTCCAAACTGAGACAAGTTCTTCCTGTGCTGGGGCTTCAAGTTAATACTTGATCTTTGCTTTTAGCTTACATGCCATACTGATGCCTATATACAATTTGCGTAGTTGTTCCTGGATAGTTCTGTCTTTTCATTTTTAAAAACAAAGCAGGATAGATTAAAATTAGAATACCTTTAATTAAGCATTAGTGCACTCCTGTGCATCTGTATTGGTGACAGTTTGAGAACTGAGGCTTTTTAGATCTTGCCCACTTAAAGAGTTCTCAGCTTAGAAATTCCCCTTTATGTGAACATAGGTAGTTGCCCTCCGTGCTAACTTCAGGTGGAACCTTCTGGGTACAGTGCTGTTCAGTACTCTAGAGTTATGGCCTCTTCCATTTATCTCATGTGTCAGTGAAGAAGACTCGTGCAGTAATGATTGAGGATGTGCCAGTTGGAGGATTTGTCCAAATTCGGTATAATGTGCAGTGCAAGCACATATATATTCACTCAGAAGTAGGTTCTGTATTGAATGAGGTTTACTTCCAGGGAAATGTCCAGATGGTTGCAGCTTGTGGTGATCCGGGGGGTGGTAGAGTTGAGCGGTTGCACTAGATATTCATGCCACTTTCACTGAAATTAATGTATTTCTCACCCTGTCTTTTCAGGTTTTATTGTGCCAGTGCAATTGTTATGTAGCTGAAGACCAACAGTTTCAGTGGCTTGAAAAGGTAAAAGGGGAGAAAATAGGACAGTCAAGGCCAAGCCCCTCCCCTTTGTACATGTATGTTTGATGCTGTTTTGGATAAAACAGATCATGAATTTGAGGCCGCATTTACCTGGGAGTGACTTAATTTATTATATATTCTATCAACCTAAAAGAAAAGAAAGAGGGGAAAAGAAAGAGCAGACTGTGCAGATATTTGGATTTGAAAGCAAAAAGATGCTTTGGAGTGCACAGGCATTTTCACAGAGCACACCCTGTGGAGCAGAGCCTATTCCCACATTAGGTAATTTGTCCCTCTGTTAAATTGCTCATGTGTTAGCTGCAACCATATTGAACCTAATCTATTAGAGCTTGGTGACTGGATTCATGCATAATGGGAAGCCCTAAGCTAGTTTGACTGGGGTTGGATTAGCAGGTTATGTGAACCCAGTCATGGTTTATGGATTGCAGCAATTGCCAGTTGCTATCTTTGTGTGGCTCATTACATCATCATCAAAAGCTTTTGCAGATCACGATATAAGCTAGAGGCTGTTAATGCAGCACCTCTAGATAGTTTCTGTCTAGGAGAGAATGCCAAAATCTCATGAGTTTGGCCATTTTTAATGGTTTCTTAGACTTCATTCAGTCCTTCCCAAAAGGTTGAGCCAATTGCACTGTCTAAGGTAGACAGTTGTACTTCTAGATGTTTTGAACTTCCAACTCCAATCAACTCAAGCTAACTTGGCCAGGGGCAAAAAAGTGTGTAGTCTAAAACCTCTGGAGGCCTCTCAGTTGCCTACTGTGATGGAATGTATCTATGAGGAGGAGAGTAATATGGGAGATCAAGACTATCAGGAGGGAGGGGGTGCATTCCAGGAGGGGAAAGGAAATAAGAGACAATGCAGTCTTCAAGGGGAGTGTGGGAAGAGTAAGAGGATCAGGATAGCCACTCCCTAGAATCTCCCAGGGAGATTCTACACTAGTTCCTGTAGTATACAACTATACTAATTGCTGTAGTATAAATTTAGTTTGGCAAGATTCTGTCTATAAGGTGTAAGCAAATAAAGGAACTTTACTCGACTGGACTGTTTCACCGTTGTTCTTGTGCTGGGCCTGACACCAACTCCAGCAGCAAACAGAGCAATCCTCTGTATATACTCATGTTCCTCCAGTTGATTTCATTAAGTCCGTCTCCCAGATAAATAGCTATTGGATTTAGCTGAATGGCTGATCTGCCAACAACCAGCTGCCTGTGCAGCAAACTGATGATGCCAAAATGGCATGCTTACAGTGATGTCATCACATAAAGGTTACCATTACCTACTTGCATCCTGACAACTGATGTAAGTACATAAGTTGTGGCGTTGGCCTTATGACATCACACGCATTTCACAATTTGTTTTCCCCTCCCTGCCATGGTTGTCCACGCCAGCACCAATGTGAGTGTCCCTTTTCCATAGCTTCTTCCATAGTGGGACAACTTGAAATAAAATCTTAACTAATGGGACTTTTCCCTCTCTTGTGCTACAACCCCCTTTTCACTCTTGAAGTCTTCTCTACAGGGTTCCCCAAGCAGACTTTGAAGATTTACTTGTTTATTTAAACTATTTCTGTGGTCACCCATCTCACTTCTGTGTCTCTGGGCAGCCTACAAGAAATTAAAAGTGTGACCATAACCCCCCAACATTTTAGAAATGGACTCCATGGTAACTTTAATACCATGCAGCTGAGGTCCTCCTAAAAACATTCATCTTACAACTATACAGCTGGACTCCCCTAACATCCCAGCCTAATGCCAGTGGATATAGACAGGTTTTTAAAGCTTATTGGAATGCCAGCAGGGTCAGCCCATCCAAAGGTGCCTGGGAGGGGAATAGCCCTTGTGCTTCTACCAGCAGAAGCTGCTTTCCTTCCAGCAGAAGCAGAGAGAGGTTTTGCCCTGTAGGGGGTTAGGAAGTGTCATTAGGACAGGGGCAGAATCCTTAGCGGCTCCCAGTATCTTGGGCTGGCCAGGCGGGATGAGCCCTAGCTCATCTCTTATGGGATTGTTCAGCTGTGTTGATCTTTTTATCTTCCTCTTAGGTTTTTGGATGCCTGCAGAAGACTGATTTGCAAATACTTGTCCTTTCAACGTGTCCTGTAACAGATTATAAAACCACTGAATCCACTCTAACGCTCCCTTCTCCCTTCCTGAAAGCATTGAAGACAAGGGAGTTCAAAGATAAAGTTTATTGCTCTCTTCTAGAACAGCCAAATATTGTACGGGATCTCCCAGCAGCAGGTATTTCATAACAAATGTATGCAAATTTAGTTTTCATAACAAATGTATGCAAATTTTAATGGGTAACAGTAATATCAAATCCTTTCATATTGTGGCTTGTTCATAGAGGTGACTCCTGTGTATTTCCTGCGCTAACAGTATTTCTAGCACTTTTTTTCAAGAAATGCAAATTGTAAATAAATGTATTATACCTTACCTAGCAAGTCTTACTGGATCACCTGGGCTTTTAATTCTGATAAATATGTATGGCATGTATTGAGAAGCAAAACAATACAGTGTTGAATGCATTTATATTTAGTGTTTTAGCTCACTAAATTTGGTGAACTAAATCACTACACCAGCTTCATCCTTGGCTTAGAAGTTATAATGGATGAGATCCAGTAGATTTTAACAACAGAACATGATCCTTTCTTTGTTCCTCAAGCAGATGTTACAAATAAGACATTAGTGTTACAAGGTAAAAGTGATAATCTGTGTATCAAAATAAAATAATCATTGAGTTGAATTCCTTTGCCAGGGTAAAAGGGAAGATACGTGTTACAGTCTAATAAGTTGGTAGTTTGCTATTATCCAAACCAATGTGCTAATTTTTTTTCCTCTCTTTTCCATTTAGTTCTCAGTTACTGTCAAGTGTGGCAAATCCCTGCAATATTTTATCAGTGTTACACTGATATTCTCAAACTGGACTTAGTAACAATTGAAACTTTCAAACCTGTCTTGTCATCCAAAATTCTAAGAAGTTTGGTGGAGGTAAGATTTAATTATCAGATTGAATAGTAAGGAGATGGGTGGGCGGATTCATGCATGGAGAGACAGAGACAGAGAATGAATGGTTTTAATTCATAGTCCCCAAGGCTGTTGGTTTATTGATCATTTCAGCAGGTGCGGGGGGGGAAAAAAGGCATAACAGATTTCCAAACTTTGGACCTTCTAGCTATATTAGGATTATAATTCTTATGATCCCTACTCAGGCAGCAAGCTGGGGAAAGCGGAAGAAAACTTCCAAATGACGTTTCACTACAATTATTACGACGATTCCGTCCCCAGAAGGGCCAAGTCCACATTTTTGTGGATTGTTGTGCTTCCTTGATTTTTAAACCCTCCTTCTGAGCACTGGAAAAGCAACAAGGGATGAGTCATTCTTCAAACTTCCTGTTAAACACTGGAATTTAAATTGATTTATAAATTAGATATTTATCTCCCATTTGGCTGCTGCTTTTCTTTTACCACCAGAATAAGAACTTCTGTTGGAAATCTGTATTGATATTTGAGCCTTTTTTTTTTTTTTTTGAACTGTATTTGTGTGTGGCTTATCTCAGTTCAGAGTTGTGTGGGATCATACACAGATGATCTGAAAATAACTTCAGGTGAGTTCATGCATAGCTCATCCAAGCTTTTTTAAAATCATGGTTTGTTAAATGTCCACAGTGGCATGGTTCACACATCTCTGAGCTGTATTTACATATCATACTATATCAAAGACCCCCCAAAAATCACATGATGAATTAACATGATAGCTAAACTAGACCTTCAGTTCTCTTTTTCCCCACCAACAATGCCAGGTTTTTACACCTAGTTTTAACTGTTATTGTTTCTGAAGAATCCTGAGTATTGTGTGCTGAAATATTCTGCTCAAGTTTCCTAGTTCCATTAGGAATGCTGCGGTTTCCACCTTTCCTCTGATAGAATCACCTGTTTTTGAGGTAGAAAAGTCCTTTGGATTTGAAATTTTAATGCTGATATAAGAATGAACTACATTTAGCCTACCTTACAGAACATTTTTGGTGCTGTGAATCGATCAGCGTAGTCACCTTGTGACTACAGGTAGTCTTCAACTTACAACCACAATAGGGACAGGAAAATTCATTGTTAAGCGGTGCAGTTGTTAAGCAAGGTATCATGTGACTGCACCCGATTTTACAACATTTTTTGTGGTAGTCATTAAGCAAATCACCATGGTTGTTAAATCAATCATGTGGTCATTAAGTGAATCTTGCGGTCATTAAGTGAAACTTGCAGTTCCCCATTGATTTTGCTTGTCGGAAGCCAGTTGAGAAGGTTGCAAATGGTGATCACATGACCCCCAGGATGTCATAAATACATGCTGGTTTCCAAGCATCTGAATTTTGATCACATGACAACGGGGATGCTGCAATGGTCGTAAATGCGAGGACCAGTTGTAAGTCACTTTTTTCAGTGCCATTGTAACTTTGAACAGTCGCTAAATGAATGGTTGTAAATCAAGGATTACCTATAAACCTAAAATTCATGTGAGCTGCTGTTTGTTTCTTGATAGGTGGTAGCTTTCCTATTCCAGCTAATCTTCTCTAAGGTTTGCAACTTATCTGGCAACAGGCAAGACATGTATGCAATATTTTGTTGTGCTCCTTTCAGCCACATGATACCTGTTGTAATCATCTTGGAGCTAAAGACAAAAAAAGTTTTTGACAGTTGAGCTTTGAAGGCCCCATATAATCTGAACTTTGTGACACTGAATCCTGATGCTCTTACAGTCACTGCAGCTATAATCAGGAAGGGAAACAAACATACATACACCCCTCCATTCCTAGGCTGTTTCAGAGCTGTGCTACATACCCTGACTTGCCAGTGAAGTGTTGCAAGTCTCTCTTAAATTGAGCTCAACTCCTGATCACTGCACAGACATGACATTGTTTTCTTTGCTATCATATGGATGGGTTTCCCATTTTCTTCCTGGTGGTCTCCCATCCTAGCACTTATTAAGGCCACATCCACACATCTCTGCTCTACTCCCCTCCCCTCCCCTCCCACAGCTAGCAGAGAATCATGCTACCCTAAATCTTTATCTTCTTATATCATGCCTTTACCATGACAATTGTCTGTTCTGCTCTCCATACAACTTTAATATGCAACATTCTAAGGGCTTGGGGGCTTGCTCAGCTGAAATCCTAGCCCTGCCCTACCCTACCTCCTCCAGCATGTGAAGAGCCTCCTTCAGCTGGTGTGTACAATGCTCTAGTTATCCTGTGCACTGCATTTTTTCTCTTTTTCTTTCTTGATTGGCCTTTTTTTTCCTCCTTAAAATTACAGGTAGTCCTCGAGTTACAACCATTCATTCAGTGACCGTTCGAAATTACAACGGTGCTAAATGAAGGGACTTGTGACCGGTCCTCAAAGTTCTGGCTGTTGCAGCACCCACACAGTCACATGAATAAAATTTGGGTGCCTGGCAACCAGCTGGTACTTATGACCAGTTGCAGTGTCCCATGGTCACATGATCACTATTTGTGCCCTTCCCTGCCATCTTCCCCCAAGCAAAGTCAATGGGAAGCCGACAAGGAAGATCACAAGTCACTGGGGAAAGTCTCCCCTGCTCCCCAGCCTTTCTTTGTTCACACGCATCATCCCCTCCTTCCTCCCTTAGCTCACACACACCCCATGCCCTCTTTCCCCGGCCTCCCTGTGCTTGCACACAGGTACACATGCACCCTGTGCCCTCTTTCCATGGCTTCCCTGTGTTCGCATGCAACCTGCACCCTCTTTCCTCAGCCTCCCTGTGATCACACACACTCATGCATGTACCCCATGCCCTCTTTCCTTGGCCTCCCTGCGCTCACACACACAGGCACCCCATGCCCTTTTCCCCAGCTTCCCTGCGATCTCATGCACCACACACCTTCATTCCTTGGCCTTTCTGAGCTCACGCCTCACTGAGCACCCCCTCCCCTGACTCATGCATGGCCTGCACCTGACCTCCCAGAGCCTCCCCCACCCCCCTGGGACTCCCTCCACTTCCCGCTTAACACACGTATCTTGGGTTATGACAACTGGAACTGCCAGGACTGCCTGGATTGCCATTGCTAAGCAATGTTGTCACATGATGTCATGCTTTACAGTCACGCTTTACAACCGCATCGCTTAGTTACAATCCCAGTCCCAATTGCAATTGTAACTCGAGGACTACTTAATATGGGTCAACCAGTTTACTATTTGGCCTAACCACCACTAGGTGGCAGCAAAGGGTTAGAAGTTTTTTATGTTGGCTTTGTGTAGTGAGATGCAGCTACTGGGTAAGTGTTCTGGGGAGCTGTAAACTACCTAAGAACACATTGTGAGGGGAGGAAGTGAGGAGCCAGGGCTGGCCTCTTGGAAGGGAGAACAGATGCCAAGTCCTTTCAATTACACTTTCATTTACATGAATTAAAACAGGTGCAAGCTGTAAATGTCAGGCTTTTGCATCCTTTAATCCAGTGATGGAACTACCTATTTTAAAAAGAGAAAAGATGTGGCTGCAGAAGCCAGAGTTCTACAAGAGGATTGAGGGTGGCCAAAAAGATCAGAGGCCGGACTGAAGAGAGTGGTCCCAATGGGAAAGTGGCAGGATCAGTTGGAGCGGCAAGATTTCCAGCCTGGAGAACATCATTCCAGTCCAGCTCCCTCCGTTGCTGAGACAGGCCGTGGGGGAAAACACCCGTTCCCTGGCATAGCACTAAGTCATGCTCAGGCTGTTTCAGCTGTGGGAGAACAATGAATTACAGGCAGAAATGGTTAGTGGGCCATCCTCTCAAGGGGAGGGGGGTGTTGCCCCAGGTCAAACCGGATTAGTTTTTCTGAGGTTAACCAAGATCAGTTAGAGGCTGCCATCTGCTGTGACAATAATTAAGTGTATTATGGTGATTTGAATGCTGTTAAATTAAATTTCACTTTAATGATACAAGATATAATCTTAGATTCTCTGGAGATGCTCATAGCAAGTGAATAAGATTGCCAGCACTCAAATAACTGGCAGTGGAAAAAAAGAGAATTCTATTTCCTATTTGTGCTGAACAATCTATTCCCTATATTCAGGGGAGCTCTAACATACTCAAACAAGTGCCTAGGGGTGTTATTTTTGCCTTTCCATTTGCCAACTCTAGAATTAATTTTAAAAGCCATTTTGTGGAAGAGCTCTGCAATTTTTGGAGAGCTTGGGCTGCAATGCAACGCACTAATAAATATACCAAGGCTGCAATGATGCCTACTCTTACTTGACAGAAATGCAGCACAGTTTGTTGCATCTGACTAGATTAGTGTTCTTCACACTGGGCAACTTTAAGATGCGTGG